TCTGGAGTGCTTGATATGCTCATGGGCCTGATTTTCCAATATGAGTTTGYTATGCTTAATTCAATAAGTTCACAGTGGTCATTCTTATTAGCAGGATTAACTTATTTATCAGTTTATGCCTTATGATTGTGCCAGACAGAGGATGGTTGATTATTTGTTCAAACAGGATGTGGCGACACACCACCTCAGCCCTAAAACTGAAAATGAAGTAGCGTATGGCAAGCTACTGCCTCACAAAATGGAGGAACTCAGATTTAGACAGCCTGAATGCACTGTTCTATCCATCATGAGCAACTCAGCAGAGCACAGAATGCTGTCCTTMCACAGGCTAGAGTTAGGCAATCTTCATTCTTTTGAGGTGGGTCATTTTATTGTCACCATTCATTCATGAAAGCAGGGAGACACTTCTTAATTACCTCAAAACCAAGCAATTAGTGGTCCACAAAGCAGGTGTCTTTGACCATGAAAGTGAGAATTCTGAATTATTTCCCTTCACTGCTCAAGTATCTTCTGAAATAGAAAATTTTCCAAATTGTTATTTGTAGTATGGTTTAAATACTCGATAAATTTTAGCAAATCGGTAAACAAATTGATTGAACCTGTTGTAATTGTACTGGCTTGTATAAAGCATCACAGTCTCCATCTCTTTGATTTGAATCAGAGATTACAATAGCATTATTGTAATGTTGTCCTAGGAATCAGAAAACGTAGTAAATAAAACAAATTAAGAATAGTTGTAAATTTATTGACTTGGACACAATATATTAATAAATAAATAAATTGGGGCATCCCCTTAATTCACTATTGATTAAAGCTCAACAGATACTATCTGTGCAAATACACCACCTTTGAACTATATTTAAATGGAAATTATGTTGAGTGGTTCTCACCTTCCTAAAATCAATAATTAACTCTAGTGATGAGCCCTTTGTTCTATCTGTAACAGTGACTTCCCTAGAGAAGCTAACTTATTTATCCTTGAACAAAATTTCTCTTTAGTGAGCTATGTGTCAGGGTAAAATGTTCACTTGTTGCAGTATATACAGAGTTTTATTAACTGAACCATTAGGCTACTACTCTTTATCACATGGCCTACTAAGAATTTGTACAAAACAAAAGCTTTCACTCTTAATATCAGTCTATTTGCATTAGTTGTCTGTCACTCAATCTTTCTGACCTGTAGGTGTGAATTTTGCTTTTCCACAGGATGAAAGTTTATACCATTTTCAGGCTTCAGTTTGCATTTCTGAAAAGCAATTCCCCTTCAAAGTGTTGCTTTTGCCTGAGGCCTGGGATCATAAACACAATTGAACAGGACACACTTAAGTATTCAGCAGATACCTCAAACTCCCCTTTCTCCTAAGATAGAAACCTCAGACTCATTACCAAACCCCACCTCCATAAATCCCTCACACCTTCCATAACTGAATCCAGAGGATTCCATCAGTCTCGAGTATGGTTTTTCTTCCTGTTCTTTAATTTCAGCCTTTATCATCTCTTTACTGATAATTTATATTTTCTATCTCCTCATCTTTCCATACTACATCCAGGTCAATTTTCTCATACCTTTCTGGTCAATTCTCTCCTGAGTTATGCCTAATCTGCTATTTTAATCCACTCWTGGAATTCATTTTATTCAATATACTTTTATGTCTATACTTTTCAACAGTTTGTCTATTCAATCCTTCTGTTATTTTCCAATGTTCTGAATTATTTTCTTGTCCTCTTAGCATTTCCTTGAAAATTTTGAACATCCTAAGTTATAAGTTTTTCAATGTGTTCTATATCAAATTATTGGATATAAAGCTCTTAATTATTGCATCTGCTGACATTATTTTGTAGTACTTCATTTTCTCATGTGGCTTGAAATTCTTGATCATGAGCTTCTTTTTAGTAGTATTTGCAGAGATCCAATGAATAGGATTAGTACCCCCATGAAAGAGAGAGCTTGTTCCTCTCTTCCAGCATGAGAAGAAAGAGCTAGAAAAGTTACCATCTGTGAACCAGTCAACAGGAGCACACATYAAATCTGCCAGCATATTGATTTTGGACTTCCCTTGCTCCCAAACTGTGAGAAATAAACATCTTTTGTTTATAAACATCCAGTATAAGGTATTTTGTTATAGCATTTCATAAGTGCTAACAGTGTTATTTTCATAAACTAAGAGTTTCAAGGGGATCTGTATTGTAGAAGCATTTCTACAGAGTAGTTTCTCACTTTTCTTTGRTTTGTTTGGTACTACAGGTTTCACCAGCTCAAGATCAATTTTTTAATTGAAAACTTTATTGAGAAAATTGTAGATTCACATACAGTTACAAGAAATAATAGTGAGAGATCCTGTGTACTGTTTGCTCAGTTTCTCTTAAGATTGGCATCTTGCAAAATGATAGAACAGTATAATAATAACAAAGATACTGACATTTTCTAATTTACTTAGTTAAGATTTTCCCTATTATTATATTCATTTCTGAGTGTGTTTTATATATCATTTTCATATATRTCCAAATTTAGTTTTACAGTTTTASCTTTGATGTTTGTTTTCATTTTGAGTTGTTAAGTAATATAAGATTTAGGTAAAGATTCATTCATTAGCCTATGAATATTCAATTTTTCAGAATACTGTTTCTACCATTGTTGAAAAAGCTATCCTTCTGCCACTGAATTGTTTTCGTGCCTTTGTCAAAAATAGTTGAGTGTATTTGTGTGARTCAATTTCTGGTTTTTACTCTATTAATCCATGTTCATCTCCTAGCCAACTTCACTGTCTTGAATAATATAAATGGTAAAACTTTTCATTAAGTTGRGTTATTCCCCCCACATTTTTCTTTGAAAGGTTTATTTCAGCTGTTCTAGGTCTTGTGCCTTTCCATATAAATTTTAGAATAAACTTGTCTATGTCTAAAAATTATGTCACAGAGATTTTTATAATAAATCTGTACCTCAATTTGAGTATATTGGCATTTTTACTCTGTTAAGCCTTTCAATTCATTAACAAGATAGGTCTATTTGTTTAGGTTTTCCTTGATTTCTTTCATCAGCATTTTTTAAAACAGATGCTATRCACATTTCATTCAGTACATACTTAAGTTTTTAATTTTCTTTTTAATGTTTATAAATATTGCATTTTTAATTTCTGCTACTGAGTCTTTCTTGTTCATATAAAGAAATACCATTGATTTTTGTGTGTCGTTCTTGTATCCTACAACCTTGCTAAACTCATTAATTGTAGAGGTATTTTGTTTTTTTTTTTTAAGATTCCTTGACATTTTTTAATGTAGACAGTCTTTATTTTAAATAGTGTTTATTTTCTCATTTCTAATCTATATGTATTTTATTTCTTTTTCTTGTCTTATTGCTGTGTCTAGAATTCTAGTACTTTGTTGAGTTAAGGGGAAAGATAACAGAATCTTTGCCTTATTCTATATCTAATTCAGTCTTTCAGATTAAGTATAAAATTAGTTGTGGGTTTATTTATTTATTCATTCTTTAACAAGTTGAGGTGATTTTCTTCTCCTAATGAGCTAAGTTGTTTATTTTTTTTAATCCTAAGTAGATGTTAGATGTGAACAAATTATTTTCTCTAAGAATTGATATGATCATATGAATTCTTCTCCACTAGCCTGTTAATATCATTGATTATGTTAAATGTGAGTGAAATGTTGAAATAACCTTGTGTACCTCAACAAATGCCACCTGATCATGGTATACAGTTGGTTTATGTATTGTTAGATTCCGTTTGCTGACATTTTACTGAAGATTTCTGCATCTAAGTTGATGAGAGATGTTGGTCTATAGTTTTCTAGTTTTTTTTTCTTTCTTTCTTTTTTAAAAACTATTTTTGACAGGTTTTTATATCAGAATAATACTGATTATGTGAAATGATTTGGAAACTGTATTCTTGTCTTCTGAAAGATGTTGTAAGAAATTGATGCTAATACTTCTCTAAATGTGTTACATGATTCACCAGTGAAGCCATCTGGGTTTGGAGATTTTTTTTTCTTTTGTTCCTTTTTTTAAGAGCTTTATAACTGTGAATTCAACTTCTTAACCGATTGCAAGTCTACTTAACTTTTTTCTTGTTGTAGTTGTGGTGATTTGAGCTTTTCAAAGAGTTAGTCAACTTTACTCCAACTATAAAATTCATGATTGTAAGGTTCCTTTCTTATTCTCTTATCAGCTACAATGTAAGTAGTGAAATCTTCTGTTTCATTCCTGATATTGGTGATTTCTAGTTTTCACTTCTTATATTTATCAATCTTATTTTAATTAGCCTTGTTTGTGGTTTACCATTTTCATATACTTTTTTACAAACCRGCTTTTTTTCATTAATTTTCTGTATTTTTATCTTATTTTCAATTAAAATGATTTCTGCTTCTTATTTTATTTCCTTTATTCTGTTTGCTTTGGGTTTATTTTGCTATTCATCTTATAGTTTCTTGAAGTAAAAATTAAATTACTGATTTGAAAACTTTATTTTCATGCAAACATTTAATACTGCGTTCCACTTATCTGATATACTGTATTTTCATTTTGGYTGTATCTGTCATTTCTTTTTTACTTACCTCTTAATCCATTAATATTTATAAGTGTATTATTTAATTTATAAGTATTTGAAAATGTTCCTGTTGTCTTTCTGGTATTAATGTCTAGTTTGACTTCATCAGGACTAAAAGKRCTATATGATTTCAGTTTTTGTTTGTTTTTTAGTCCAGAATATGATATATCTTGATTACTTTTCCACAGATACTTTTAAAAATATAGATTCTGCTTTTGTAAAGTGCAGTGTTCTTGCACGTTCATAGATCTCTTGTATTTGTTCAAGTCTTCTTCAGTCTTGGTATTCAAACTTTGAATTTGTCGACTTCCCTTTCCAACTCTACTAATTTTTGCTTTGTGGTTTTATTTTTTTTTTTAATGTATATTGTTGGACTATATGCAGTTAGGATGGTTTCATCTTCCTGATGGCTGGGTCCTTTTGTCATTACATAATACTCCCACTTTGGTAATTTTSAGTGCTCTGAAGCCAACTTTATCCAGTATTAATAGGCCACTTCTTTCTTTTTAATTAATATTGGCATGGTGTACCTTTTCTCATCTTTTGTTTCTATCGATTCTTCCCTGTCAGTGTGTTTCTCATACATTGTCTGAATGTGGGTTGTTTGGGAACAGCTTATGCTTATTTCATCGGCTTAAAAATCTGAACATTGTGGCAAATATTAATTATGACTGATCCACGGCTTTTTTGCCTACTTTCTTTTTGAAGGTGACACTTTGACCTGCGAAAACGTATCAAAGAAAAATGTTCTGGTCACACCTGATACAACAGTGAGTAGAGATTTTCTGGCCCCATTTTCATAGATTGAGCAACATTTCACTGCTTCTAGCATTTCCGGAAGAACTTAATTGCAGCTTTCTCATGTACACATCTTGAAGATGACATCTCCATCTCTTGGACATCCTGACSCTCAGCCATAGGCTCCAGATCTGATTTGGATACCCTGTGTGTCTTTGTGCACATTTCAAGCTCACCTATATTAAAAAAAAAATGTGTAGTTGTAGAAGGACAGAAGGCCTTTATTTTATTTGTTTATTTTTATGTGGTGCTGAGGATGGAACCCAGTGCCTCACACATGCTAAGCAAGCAGACTGCCATTGAGCTACAGCCCYAGTCCCAAGCTCACCTACATTTTAAGCACTACTGTCACTTTATTCAGACTTCTCTATAACTTTTTACCAAATAAATTTCCAAAGTCAAAAGAAAAAGGAAGAATTATGGCCTTTAAAACCTTGCTTTCTGTGATCTAATCTTAAATTCTCATGCTCACACTTTCYAAAGTGTCAAAAACAGCAAACTTGGAAACAGCTGGAAGAAAATAGAGGATCAAGAGAATGCAGCCTCTGCCTCCTCTAGAAAGAAAGGAAATTTGAGRGTAACTCACATTTGAAAACCAATAACCACTACAGACAAAGACATAGAATATAAAAGCCCTCATTTTCTGACCCTAACCTACAACAGCACTTCTTCCAAACAAGATTCAGCGCAGAGGGTGGAGTTGTAGCTCACTTGAGGCATTGCATTCCATTCCCAGCACCACATATAAATAAGTAAATAAAATAAAGGTCCATCAACAACTTAAAAAAWTTTTTTTAAAAATGATTCAGAGCAACTTATTTAAGTTGCTAGTTCTTCATAGCCAGGTATTAACAAATAGCCCCCACCGTACCTGAGGATAGACTATTTTATGAGGAGAAAAATAAATGGATAAAAGTTATTGGAGAATAGATGTGCCGCCAGATTACCATTTATAGAACTGACTCACCATGTACCCTTAGACRCGCTGGGTAGTTTCCCTATTTATAACACGGGGTTCATAGAACTTGTCGGCAAGAATGTGTGAACCCTCAAGTAAAATTTAGCACGTGGCGCCTAGCGCTCAAAGAGTTATCATATTATTACCCAAATTGGAATTGGCTTTGTGACAGATTTCAAATACCAGAGTCCTGCAAAGCAACTGCGACAAGTCTGTACATTCCTAGGAAACCTGAATGCGCATTGGAAACATGGGTGCATCTGGTTTTCCCTGAGGCAGCAGCTGCAGCTGCTCAAGTTGCTGTGGAATCCGAAGTGACAGCCCCCTCCTGGCTGRCAGCGTCACTGTCATTCAGGAGAGAGATCACAGAGCCTGTTCATTTCTGCCTTTGAGGTGCAGCTCACAGACATCAGCAGGAGACCAAAAGGCCTGTGGGGCATGAGGTTAAAAACCTACAAAACAATAATGCCTTCTCCTCGGCATGGAAATTCCACCATTCCTCTGTGGGTCCTGGGGAAATCCGGGACTGCGAGAAAAATGCATCTGAAATCCTTTCCTTAGGGTTTCAACAACAGGAGACGAGCAAATCCAAATGCAGGAACCTGGGTGGTGAAATTTGTTTTTTTTTTAAAAAAAAAGTGAGACTTTTTGTTCAATGGCTCCCTGAGTGGGGCAGGAGTTTAAGAAAACATAAGYAGGCTACATTTTTTCCCTCTCCTTTTTCAATGACTTTTTTTTCTACACAGGATTTCCTGGTCACATCATGAGGAACTAGGTAAATATGCCCCCTTCGACTGAGTGGCAAGAATCATTTCCTGTCTGTTCTTTCAAGGAAGAAAGAAAAAGACCCCCAGCCACCCCAAAATAGAAAAGTACAAACTGTCATTTGAAATTTGATCAGGAAATTTTGTTAACACAGGCAAGTATTATCCTGGAATTTGTTTTTAACTTGGTTGTTTTTGTTTTGCTTTGTTTTGGTTTTTTTTTTTTTTTTTTGGTCAAATACACTGCCTACATTGTGAGATTCACTGCCGTTTCTATCTCGTGATCATTGCTCAAATATGTGTCATTTCTTGAAATGTTTGGGCCTACGTCAAGCACTAATTCATTCTGAAAAACACTCCTCTTTCTCTCCAACCTCATTCCCACCTTGTTTTATTTATTGTGAAAATAGGAAATCTTCAGCTGACAMWGAGGCAGAAGGATCCCAAGTTTGAGGCCAGCCTTAGCAACTTAGAGAGACCCACAGTAACCTAGCAAGATCCTGTCTCAAAATCAAAATTTAAAACAAAAATGACTGGGGGTGTATCTCAGTGGTAAGGTTCTATCGCCAGGACCAATAAAATAAAATAAACAAATAAATAGATATCCTTTGAATCATATTCRGTCTCAGGCTGGCAAGCAGAAGTGTGAGGACAAAATGTTACTACTGGTGTAAYATGTGGTGTTTTGTGGGGAACTAAGTTCTTATGGAACTCTTTATGTAAARCATTTCTCAAAGTGTTTCATTAAAAGAGAAGACCCCTGCATTAATATTAAGAAAGAGAAAAGAGACTGTGGTCTCAGGAAAATGTAAACTACTCTATGCCACATATGTCTCTTGGAGATGTGTAATGCACCATCAAGTCTTAAAGATCCCACTTTGATTCTTTAAAAACCAATATTTTAAAAAGTTTACACTGAARCTTTTTAAAAACACAATGCTTATTAATACTCTATAGAGTGTATGTTCTTTAAAATGCTTCTTAAGTGTAACAAAAAAAAAAAGTATCTAAACTGCCTCTGAAGAAAAATTCTAATCATTTTTGAAGGATTTGACATTCATTTTCAAGATTATAAATTATGTATCATTTTCCCCAATTAGCTCACTCCATTGGCTTACTATGTCACTTGCTGCCACTTTAAATAATGTATTCCAAGTTCAACCCAAGAAACTTCATTGTCCTCCCATTCCTATTATTCCACAGAAGAACTAAATGTTTCCACCGTGACAAGGTGCCTTCTTCAAGTGATCCAAAATACAAGTTCTACGCTGTGACAGAGAATGGGACACCAAGAAGAGTCCCCTTGAGGTTGAACTATTTATAAAGTCAGTGATACATAAAGTGGTTAAAAATGGAAATGCTAGCGTAAATATTCCAGAGACAGAAATGCTTAATCCTTTTTAATCCGAATTCACACCTCAGCTCTTTTCTCTTCCACTAAACTCTATGGCACAGTCACATCTCTCCTCAGCAAACACCTGGTTCGTAAACTGATGTTTGACATTAAAATATTTTGGGCTGTGTGTGGTGGCGCATGACTGAAATCCCAGCCAGGGAGGCTGACACAGAAAGAAGGCAAGTTCAAGACCAGCCTCAGCAACTTATCGAGGCCTTAAGCAACTTGGCAAGATTCTCAAAATAAAAACTAAAAGGACTGGCCATGTGGCTCAGTGCTTAAGCACCTCTGGGTTCCCCAAAACAAACAAAAGAAATTTTGAATGGAACTGTTACCCAATCACAGAGATCATTAGGCAGGATCCTTAACCCACATGCTTTCAAAATCTATAGATGGAGAAGATGTATAAACAGGTAGTAACTGAACACAGTTATAAACATCATACTAGAGGCTTATAGAGGTGTACACAGAGGCATAAAACATGATTGTATATTGGGGACTTTCTATGTGGATGAGATGGTAGGTTGTATTAAAATTGACAGAAGAAACTAGAAAGCTAAATGGGGGTCCTTGAAGATGTCAAGAGCATCAGCACACTGATAATCAGAGAACTGATATGAAGGGATTGCTCTTTTTCTTATTTCAACTGTTCATTAAATCAGACTTACTGTCTCTTCACATTCTTACATACACAGCAGAAACCAAAATAAAACCAAGTTGCTAATCCGTGTCTCCCAGACAGAAAACTTGATTAAAGTTCTCAAATAAGAATCTCGGCTCCCTTTTGCCTGTAAAAAAAAAAAAAAAAAAAAAAAACACTTCTTTCAACAATTTTTTTTTTTTGATGGTGGGGGAGGTGGCTACTAGTAAGGTACAGCTTTAGTCTACATACAGTTTTACTTTCTTAGTGCAAAGTCTGTTGCTAAGTAGAGGATGGATTTCTTCATCCCCTGAGACAAAGCAGACTTGTTAATATCAGAAAGACACAAGGTCTTTATTAGATAATTCCAATTGGTTTGAGACAAAATACAGACATGAGCACATAACTAGTCTAGTACCTTCAAAATCTCTCTCTTCTTTTTTGGCCAAGGTTGAACCTTAGAGCCTTAAACAGTCCTAAAGCAATTAAGACTCTACTGAGCAAAATTTGATGGTGTGTTCAAAAAAAAAAAAAAAAAAAAAACAAACAAAAAAAAAAACAGACAGTTACAGCCTGGTTATTATTGCAAACATACCGTAAAATCCCAAATGTAGCATATGGAATGTAGGAAGAAAAACTGGAGGAGACAACTGAAGTAGAGTTGATATTCCTGGCTTGTTTTTAGCTCCTTACTGCTATACCCAAACAAACAAACCTCTTCTTATCTGTCAGTTCATCAGTCATGTGTGAAATGGGAGAGGAGCAGGGCCTTCCTACAGGATGCATGCCAGGGCTCACATGAGACAGAGTGCTGAAGAAAAGCACCCTGGAACACCAGCTGCCTTGCAAGCTTAGGCTGTTCGTACTGAGTAACTGTGTCTTGTGCCTCTGACCTTTTAAACACTGGCCTACAGAACCACTTCCCTTCTGCCGTCATCCCACGAACCAGTTATGCACAGCTCCTTGGAATGAAATGTACTGATTCCAGAACTTTCTGTCTGATTCATCATGACCTAAGGCCAAGGTATTTCTGGCCTCCATCGTCGGGGACTATGAGAAAGGTTTAGTGATAGAGGACTTACAGGTCTATCATTCTCTATTCCTAAGATCTTTTCTACACCCATGCTGTTGCCTTTCCCTGAGATCTCCCTATTACAGCTGACCTTCTGAGCTCTCCCTCTTCTGGACTTTGGGCATCCTACTGACCCTTTTCTTTTGCATTCCTTTAGGCAATGTCTTATCTTCCTCACTGGGCAGAGCCTCCCTCAAACAAGGATTCTGGTTATTTTCTTCCTTCCTGAGAAAGCCCATCTGTTTAGGTCTCTGAGCCTTCGKTTTTTTTTGTTTTTTTGTTTTTTTTTTGTGAATGATTTACCTACTGACCCCTGACCCCACCCAATCCCACATTTCTTCCTGTTTTCGGATGGGTGACACCTTCTGACCACCCTGTCAATGGAAAAAAAGATAAACACCAAAGTCTGTTTCCTCCCAAGGCTGTCCCAGTCTCACAACCTGGACTGTTCTCAATGGCTCTGAGTCTGTAGAATCATCTCCCTTTCCTCTGCTATCTCCCAAGATCTTCTTTTACCACATCACACTTAATAATCAGTGGCCAGATTTGCTGCTCTTTCCTCTGTGTTATCTTGGAGATCTGCTTCTTCCTCTGGATGCAACAGACAGATACCTGAATCTGATTTTCTCATCTTGGACTAAATTGTCTCTCATTTTCCTGCAAGGAGCGAGTCCTAATTTTCAAAGTTTTCAATTAAGAAGAAAATCAGTTCAATCAGCTATTTATACGCACTTCCTTGGTTGTGTTTTACTCCAAGCTTTATTTTCACTCTGTACTCAGTTCTTTGTTATAGGTACTTTGTTAGGAGATCTACCTCCAAAGCAGTCTGCAAACATGATCTGTCTTCTTCACACCCCTCTTCTTTACATTTTGTTGGGGAAAGCTTTCTCCCAATACTTCACAACTAACTTTATCTGGAGTCTACAAACAGTATCACTCTCTGAAATTTCATGGCTGAAAGTGGCCTTGGTCAGTGCTATTCAATACAACTTTGCCTGATGATGCCAATGTTCTCTATTTCTGCCCTTCAGTATGGCAGCTACTACACACCCATGGCTATTGGGTCCCAGAAATGTGGCTGGTGCATGAAAAGAACTGAACTTTTAACTTTACTTAATATTAATTAATTAAATGTAACTCACCACATCTGGCTAGTAGCTACTGTACCAAACCATACAGTCTCAATCTAGGACCTAACGTATCAAACCATACTATGAAAATCAAATTCATTAAATATAATGTTAAGCTTTTCAGGGGCAAAAGGAAATACATGAGACCTGAAAAAAAAAAAAAACTAGTTTTACAAAATAAAACTCATAATCAAAATTAAAGAACATTTTGATTTAGCATAATTAAATATTAACATGCCATTTTTGTCAACTTAAAAATATTCAAATAAAAACTCCAGAAAGTTGCTTTATTTTTCCAAATAATTTGTTGGTTATGTCTTTCTTCTTCACAAGAATTTCCAAATGCACATAATAATTGCCACAAAATCGAATCATGGCCAATTGTAAATTAAACAAGTTTCTCGTGACCCAATTCTATCAGAAACAGAAGTATAAAAAATTCTTAATATTTTGAARCAAAAAAATAAGTACTTAATGTGGTACATTTTTCATGTTTTACATGGTGTTGGGTGAGACCTCTACAAGAGTRCCTAATCTATGCCCAATTTAATATCATATATTTTATACTTGCAATAGTATATAAACAAAATTAATTCACCTGCCATACACCCAGTCTCTCCTACCCCTTTACTCAAGTCCACCCTTAGCATGGACAGGATAAGGCAAAAGTATAAATGGAGGCACCTACCTCATGTCCACCTTCCTTTCCACTTTGTTTCTTCCTGGGCCAAGAAAGACCTCACATTCAAGCCTAAGAACAGCTTAGTCTAGACTTCCTGCTTCATCTAACAGTTCTAGAAATGTGCACATCTGTAGCTCACTCTTTTTTTAAAATACAAACCCTGCCCTGGRAGCAGGGAGTTCTGAGACTGCTGTTTTGGAGAGTGCATGACTCCTAACCCCAGGGACATTTTGCTTCGTGGGCAAGAGTGTAAGAAGAAGGTCCTTACTGATATTTAAGGCATGTGGACTGGTTAGTATTATTCTTACCTTTCTATATTTATATCACAGAATTTAGCACTATCTGAAATGTCATTGTTTGGTTTCATTGACTTGTTGTTGTTGTTATTTGGTGCTGGGGAATCAAACCCAGGCCCTTGTGCATGCAAGGCTGAGCTATAGCCCCAGCCCTAGTTATCAATTTTTTAAAAAAAATATTGAGACTAAGAGACTACAAATAAACTCTGGTTATCATAATACCTAGAGTCACAATGTTCCTGATGCTAGAATACTATCTGGTTTATAGCAGATGCTAAATAAATATTTACTGAGAAAATAATTGTTTTTCTCATGATTTTCCTAGAAACTAATGGTATTCCTATTGAAAAGATTATAGGTTTTAAAACTGCATAAATTAAAATTAAAATTGAATTCCCTCTCATCCTATTATTAGCCATGATCTTGGTTAGTGGGCATAAAACATCTAGCTCAGTGATGTTGCTTCCATTTCTTCTACCTTTCCTTTTTTTTTCTGTTTTGTTTTTGTTTTTCTTCCTTATTATATTCTCTTTGTGAAACCCAGGTCTGTCACCTGTTGGTGGGTTATCAGACCAACTTAAGTGTTACAGTTCCCAAAGTGTAGACTATAAAGCCCTGGGGATCCAAGCATTTTCCAGAAGATCTATGAGGTTCAAGTTAATCACAGTGATACTAACACATCATTTACCTTTGCCTTGGTGTTGACATTTGCACTATAATACAAAAGGAATGATGTGTAAAATTGTTGTATCATTAAGGCCCATGATAAAGTTCAAGAGGTCAAGCAGAAATTGGAACTTTGGAAAACTTGTATCCATCACTGTGAGCCTGAGAGCTTCCCAACAACTTAATGACTTTTTTCACATGAGATGCATGGTAACACTAAGACATGTGACTTTTTGATATTAGAAGTTTGAAACATTTGGAAAATAATTCAAGGGATAAATATTTCCCAAATGACCAACTCAGGGTATTCTCAAATCACATGTGGTTAAAAGATCCATTAGACATCTAGCCCGGTGTACAAGGCAGGTAGGTACACATGTATCGTCCTAGCTACTTGGGAGGTGAGGCAGAAGGATCAACTGAGCCCTGGAATTTGAGACCAGTCTGAGTAACTTAGTGACTCCATATCAAAAACAAAGAAATGAAGTCCAAGATAAGCCAACGAATTATAATGAAAATACACTAATGTAGACAGCCATCCTCCATGGGCTGTGTGTGGACTGTCATACATCACAACCCAGTGAATAGGAGAACTGGTGTCTGGGATCTTCCAGTTGACATTTCCTCTGGTTGACTTCCCAGACACACTGTGAGTCCTATTCAGTTTGATCCAGGTCCCACAAAGCACTGGAAATGGAGTGACCTGCTGTAGCTGCACAGCCACTCCAAGATAGATGTGACCTGCCAAGATGCCATCCACCTGCTGCCTGCAAGAATCCACCCCTGTAACCTTACCCCTGCCTTTGATGTACCCCYTTAAATAAACCACAGGAGACGTTTTCTAACAGTCTGGTTCCAGCTTCTGTGTGGATTGGACCTATYAGGTGCTCCAGTCCTTTAAATCTAATTCTGACTTCTCTCTTGTTCTTCACTGATTATTGTTGGCTTTAATTTCTCAGGTGGCTTACGCCTTCCTTGGCAGGAAGAAGAACCCCCCCCTAACAAGGCTCTGGCCACCTCCCCGTAGACTAAAAGTTCATAGGCACAGTTTCAGATTCTATGAGGCAGAGAATATCAACAATTACCTTCAAAAAGCCTATTAAAATTCTCTTCCTTTTAAACTACAGACAGTCCTTGAGTAACAACGGTTTGATTTACAATTTTTTTAACTTTTAGTTGGTACAAATAGGATCTCACTCGTGTGAAATCTAAGAGTTGATTTCACAGAAGTTGAGTGTGGAGGAGTGGTTCCCAGAGGCCGGGGAGCACAGAGGGAAAGGAGGGCTGGGGAAGACAGATCAATGGGTGCTAAGATGTAGTTAGATATGAGACGTAAGTTCTGGCGTGCTATTGCGCAATCGGGTAACTGGATAGCAACAATGTACTCTACACTTGGAAGAAGTTAGAAGAAAAAAATATTGAGTGTTTTCATTACAAAAAAATAAATGTTTGAGGAGATAGACTTTCTTACCCATGCTTGAACATGACACAATCTATGCATATATTGAGATTCTACAAGGTACCCCAGGCCTATGGATAATATTTATGGGTCAATTAAAAAATGCTTTGAAATTTAAAGATAGAAGTTTCAAAATGTAACAAAAGATGGTGACAAAGCCATCTGTACCCAGGAGAAGTCATACTTCTAATATTGAATTTTTATCTTTTCCCAGGCTAGTGATAGGCAGCATGACTCTCTTGCAAAGTGGGACAGCAGCATCAGGCTTCAGCTCCCAGGCAATCACATCTCAAGAGGAAAGAGGTAGTGCTTTCCAGTGTACTCTGAATCTAAACTACCATGCTTGGAGGGTTAGGTGTGTAAGAGGCATTTTCAAGCTCCAATATGCTCAATTTACAATGGGTTTATCTGAATAAAACCTTATTGTAAGTAAAGTCCATCTGTAGTAGTT